GCTTGTCCTTTTTTTTTCCGTGTTTTGTTTGTCTCTTTTGGGGGGGACGGGGGGTGGGGGGGGGGGGGGATCGGGGGAGTCATGGTCTCCCCCGTCCCTTGCGCCATCTGCGTGCGTGTACAGGATATATCATTAGTAGTTTTCCTGCCAGCTCTGCAGAGGTAACATACCAGCGGTGCATCAGCAGGAGGCTGCGGGGAAGGTGGTTGTCCTGCAGTTTCCCATTGTCTTCTATGGAGAAAACACACAAAAAAAAGAGTCCCAACCATGACATGCTGTGCAGAACAATGTATATTCCACCAGTGAGACTGGTCTGTATTTGACACCCGTACTTTAGATGTACTGAACATAAAGGGACTGCAGAAGAATCTAGGTTTGTTTTTTTATATTTCAATAACAACACCTTGTGATACTTTATACTGTACTACACACCCATTAACTTATATACTCACCGAAAGCCTCAACGCATTCATGTAAGAGAGCATCAAGTGTCGCTGCCTTTCCCAAAGTGGACGATCCCATAGTTTTAGGGCCACAAAAGCCAAAACGCGTAATCCGGAATTTCGGACCACTCAGGATTTTCTTCGGACTTTGGAAGAACAATCTGTCACAGACAAAACCACACGTTTTGAGAGAGAGAGAAAAAGTAAAAAAAAAAAAAGGTCCTCACCCAGCCCTGCAGGGGGCAGGGTTCGAAACAATAATAACTATTGGTTGAAAAAACTGTTTCGTGGGCCATTTAAAATGGCTAAATGGGCCAAATTCAGGTCACGGGCCTTGAGTTTGACATGTATGGTCTATAGCAGGGGTGTCAAACATATGGCCTGCGGGACATAACCGGCCCGCGAGGGGTTTCAATCCGGACAATTGATGAATTTTGAAAGATAAAAATAAACAAAAATGTCATGTCTGTGATGTTTTTTCAGAAAATAAATATATATAAATACATTTGTCCTGTCATGTGTCCCTTGGACAGTAGTTTCCTATGCATGGTCGAGACATAATAAATTAGAAATTACAATAAGTCCATCTAGGTCATGGGTGTCAAATTCTTTTTTTTTTTTTTTAGGGGCCACAGGACCTGTACAATCATGACATAATAAATTAGAAATTACAATAAGTCCATATTTTTCCTCTTTGTTTTCATGCAAAGAAGTACCCATATATTATTATTATTATTATGCATTCATATCAAATGAAATAATAATAATTTTACTAAAAATATCCTGAACATGAAGTGTTCTTTAATTTTCAAAATTCATCAAGCGGGCCACATCGAACACCCTACCGGGCTGGTTATGGCCAGCGGGCCACATGTTTGACACCCCTGCTCTAGACTAATATACATACAGCGTTTTATCCCTCTCTGTGTTTGGTGAAATAGCTGCACTATTACCACCCACATTGACACCTGGAGGTTCTTCTCCTGAGATAATCTATTCATACCCAAGGAATGAAACGGGTGACAGCGCTGCATATTTTTCACCGTTATAACAATTGGTTCATGTATTTGTTAAAAAGTCCAAAAATGAATTGGGCAACCTTTTCATGCATCAAATGTATTTCAAAAAAGGGCTCATTAATTCAAGGTATGACACACTAATTTGTCATGTTAATACAATTGTTAACAATGTAATATTATTATGTCTTTTTTCTTTTGTACCTGCAGCCGCTCAAACAGAGAAGAGATATAGGGAAGCAATCGAAAGGAGATAATATATAAAAATATGATCTATGTATCAACATATCTATC